GGATTTATACTACCAGGAATTCATTGGAAAATAACTATTGACTAATTATTTATATATAAAAATGAATAATAGATAAAAAATGGATATATATGTGAAACAAGTAGATATGTCTATATATGTGTATGCACATCTTTCTAATCCTGATGCAAATTAATCTTGAACTTAATCCGGTTCATATCTTTATTATCACATATGATGTAGTTTACAAATTCTGACGTTAGTGTTGAATATGTCTATCTTATCATTGCAGTTTTTCAAATTCTCTAAGATGTTCCCATGGTTAAATATTTTTTTATATCTCTTTTGATAATCACACACATTTCTGTATTACTGAAATGAATGCAAAGTTTAAATGTTTTAATGCACTTCCAACATTTACGCACAAGATATCTTTTTAAAATTCTAATATATAAATGTATCGAAATTGTTTAGTCAATTCCCACCTATACACAAAATACAATATATGTAATGCACACATTTGGGAATGTTTAATCAAATTTTTGGGAATGTTTAATCGAATTGTTTCCTTTATTAACACACATAGTATATTGAAAAGATCCTGAAAGATATGCAAATAATTAATAAACTATAAAAGACGATTTTTTAACAAAACATGAACTATGTACACATTTCTTAGCTCTAAATTCAAGTATGGTTTATCTATATACACAAGATACATCTAGTATTTAGTTAATGATATTTTGTATTTTGTTAAAATGTTCAACACCTCTCCACATCACACTACACAATGTTTGCAAATTCTTCTTTATATTTACACATAAGATATTTTTTTTCATCTCCTGATATACTGTACGTTTCATTCTATCCCAATCTATTTCTATGCATAACATGATAATTTTCAAAACAGGAAATATGTATGGACGTTATATTCACGTTTTGGGTGTTTTATAAGCATGATACATTTCATAAAAAATTTCGAAAAAAAGTATAATTTGTTGAATTTTGAATTCCAAGCTTATTTGCATGTATGCACAATATTAAATAATGTAAGATGTACTCATTTTAGAATAAAATCCAATTCCTCTATATAATTATGTACGACATGCATTTTTCTAATCTAAAATACATACCCAATACACATACAAATATATTTAATTCAATTCTGTACATAAAAGGTAATTTCTTTCTATATTTACAAATGAGATGTAGTGTCACATCTGAAAATAGACTTTTGGAATATTTAAGAAATACTTTCATCAATACAATAATGTATTAAACAAAAATAAAAAAAATAGAAATTGTGAAGATGACGTTTTTTTCAAAACATGATACTGCTCAATTTCAATACGGTTTTTACCGTATTTTGTACATTATTTCCAAATGTTTGAAATTCTGAAATATGTATATCTGGTATAATGATTTAGTAAAACTCTATCTATTTCTTAAACGTATACACATTGCTACACATTGTATACACATTTTTCCAATCCTGACCTGAATTTAATTCGATTCATAACTCCTATTTTACACAAGATACATTTTGTACACTCTACAAATATGTACATACATTCAAATGTAAAATCCAGTTCATATCTGTGCAGGAAAAGTTAATGATTGCAAATTCTGAATTATCTACATATTGTACATGTTCTACTCAATTTCTCTTTATTTATTTACACACTAGATAATTTTTTTCATCTTTAATTACATACGCATTGTAAATGCTTGATTCATTTATTCCCATTTTTCCATAAACAAAACACAATATTAACAATACATGAAATATACACACATTTAGTAATGTTCAATCAAGTTCATTTTGTTTCTTGATTTTCACATGATGTAGTTTACAAATCAAGAAATACTGAAAATGGTTAATCACTTCTTTTTCTATTTATTATTCTAGGATATTTATATCCACGCAACTAGTACATGCTCAAGACTAAAATTAATCCCCTCGATCACTGGATGTCAATCTCAACGGCACATCATATATTATCTATCTCAACTCCCCGGGGATGATACAACTCTTGCAGCGACTGGACGTACCGAGTTATTGTGGCTTTCTCATCCTTACGAGATACCCATTCACAGCTGGGTGGATTGGGACACATAGTCACAGTACTTTGTCCAAGTTCACTGCACGTTGCTGTACCCGCAACTAGGTGTTTGCATGTATTCATGTGGCCACCATCTGGTCATATACCAACGGATTCGTGGGTTCTTTGAAGTGCACGGGGTTGTGTACTGTACACTAGGGGTTGTGATAACGATAAAGTCGGCTCCAAGCTTTTCACACCCGGTCACAGGTGGGCTCGATCCTGACACCTCAAGCTTCCTGGATCACTAGTCTTGCGCCTTAGCCAGCTCGCCCACCATGCCCCTCAAATACATTCAAATACATTCACATTGTAAATATTTCATTCTATCCCAATTTACTTCTATATACAAAATACAATGTTTGCACATCCTGAAATCTACACACATTTGCAGTGTTACATCAAGTTCATTAATTTTACCAATGCAATTGATCTACATGTCTTCATATACATAGACAGTGTAAACGTTTGATTCAGTTCTAATCTATTTCTATGCACAAAATACACTATTTGCACATCCTAAAATATACACACATTTACAGTGTTTCATCAAGTTCATTAAATTTATCAATACACAAGATCTATGTGTCTTTAAATACATAAAAACTGTCAATGTTTGAGTCAGACGTAATCTTCTATGCACAAAGTACACTATTTGCACATTGATATACACACATTTTCATCAATAGGCACAATGCACTTAACAAATCAACAAATATGTACACGTGGTTGACTATTTCTGTTTCTACCAACTATTTCTACAAACAAAGCCATTTTGACATTATTTAAATCCAGAAATATATAAATAGTTAAATGTTTAAATAAATTCCTATCTAATTCCATACACATGATGCATTTTATGAAACAATGTTTCAGTTACTATCTTTACATTTCTTAAATCCTGAATTATGTACACTTTGCTAAATGTTTAATGCAATTTCTATCTAATTTTAGACACAAGATGCATTTTTACAATCCTGAAATGCATACACATTGCTATATGTTTATTTCAATTCAATTTCAATTCTACACACAAGATAAAATATTAGCAAATCTTCAAATATGTACACACTGTTTTTAATTCAGTTCCTCTTTATATTTCCACACTAGACACATTTTTTCCTTATCCTGAAATACATACACATTGTTTATTTAATTCAAGTCATATGTTGCATTTTACACAAGATATTAGACTTTTAGAAGCATTGAAGGTAATAGTTAATAGTTTGAATAATAACTTCTAAAAAATTGAAATAACAGACTGGGGTCCTTTTCGCTTATCTAGGCTTGCCTCTTTAAAGGATAGAATAATTACAATACATCCATGGGCTTAGCTCTCAGTTCAGCCTTGGGGGAAGGCTAACAAGATATCTGTATTTTGAATTCTGAATTATATGTATGTATATACAATCAAATGTTAAATCCAATCCATGTCTACTTCTAAAAGGTAATGTTTGCAAATTTTCAAATATCTATTTACACATTGTACATCTTCAATTCAATTCTTCTATATTTACATACTAGATATTTGTTTTACATATCTTCAATTACATACACATTGTAAATGCTTGTTTCAGTTTCTCCTATTTTCCCATAAACAAAATACAATGTGAACAAAACCTGAAATACACACATATTACAATGTTTAAACAAGTTCATTAAATTAATTAATAAACATGATGCCTTTATAAAAGCAGGAAATATTGGAAATTGCTGATCATTTTAATTGCTATAGAAATGACGTGTCTTGAAACGCGGACAAATTGTAAATGCTTGATTCAGATGTCATCTACTACTATAAGCAAAATACACATTTTGCACATTCTGAATTATACACACATTTTCATCAATATGCACAATGTATTTAACAAATCAACAAATATGTACAAGTGGTTGATTATTTCTGTTTCTATCAACTAGATGACCTTTTTAAACATGAAACACGTACACATTGATGAATTTAAATTAAAATCTTTCCTATTTCCACACACAAAGCCTTTTCTACATTATTCAAATCCAGAAATATGTAAACGGTTAAATGTTTAAATAAATTCCTATCTAATTCCATACCCATGATATATTTTATAACACAATATTATTTACACATTTAAATATGTTTCAGTTACAATCTATATGTTTCTTAAATCCTGAATTATGTACACATTGTTAAATGTTTAGTGCAATTTCTTTCTAATTTTATACACAAGATGCATGTTTGCAGTCCTGAAATGCATACACATTGCTGAATGTTTATGTCAATCATTCAACACACAAGATAAATTATTTGCAAATCCTTAAATATGTACACACTGTTTTTTCAGTTCCTATTTTTATTTCCCCACTAGATACACTTTCTTCTAATCCTAAAATATATACACATTGTTTATTAACTCAAGTCATAACATGTATTGTACACAAGATATTTGTATTTTAAATTTTGAACAATATCTATATATATATACACACATTGTAAATGCTTGTTTCAGTTCCTCCTATTTTTCCATAAACAAAATACAATATTAGCACAACTTGAAATATACACACATATTGAAATGTTTAACAAAGTTCATTATTATATCATTTAACTTGAGGGGCGGGGGGGTAGCCTAGTGGTTAAAGCGTTGGCTCGTCACACCGAACACCCGGGTTCGAATCCCCACATGGGTACAATGTATGTAGCCCATTTCTGGTGTCTGCCGTGATGTTGCTGGAATATTGCTAAAAGCGGCTGAAAACCAAAACTCAGTCAGTCAGTCATTTAACTTGTCGTATTTAAGAAATCAGATGGGAAATCATTTCCATTTCTATTGAAAAGATGTGTCTTCATATACACATTGTAAACGTTTGATTCAGTCCTAATCTACTTCTATATACAAAATACAATGTTTGCACATCCTGAAATCTACACACATTTACAGTGTTTCATCAAATTCATTAATCAATACACATCATCTATGTGTCTTCAAATGCATACACATTGTCAATGTTTGAGTCACACACAAGATATAATATTTTCAAATCCTCAAATATGTACACACTGTTTGATAAAATCTAAATAACAGACTGGGGTCATGTCCACTTAGCTAGACTTGCCTCTTTAAAGGATAGAATAATTACAAGACATGCATGGGCTTAGCTCACAGTACAGCCTTAGAGCAAAGCTAGCAGGATATCTGTATTTTAAATTCTGAACAATATGTATATACAATCAAATATTTAATCCAATTCATGCCTGCTTCTAAAAGGTAATGTTTGCAAATTCTCAAATATCTACACATTCAATTCAATTCTTCTGCACTAGATCTATTTTTTAAATATATTCAATTACCTACACATTGTAAATGTTTGTTTATAATTCCGCCTATTTTTCCATAAACAAAATACTATAGTAACAAAACCTGAAATATAAACACATATTGCAATGTTTGATCAAGTTCATCATTTTATAAATAAACATGATGTATTTATGGAATCAGGAAATATTGGAAATGATTAATCATTTCCATTTCCACTGAAAAGATACATCCTCAAATGCATATACAGTGTAAATGTTTGATTCACTTGTAATCCAATTCCATACACAAAATGCACTATTTGCACATCCTGAATCTACACACATTTCCAGTGTTTGATCAAGTTCATAAAATGTTATCAATACACATGATCAATGTGTCTTCAAATACACACACACATTGTAAATGTTTGAGTCAGTTCTAATCTACTTCTATACACAAAATACACATTTTGTACATTCTAAAACATACACACATTTTCATGAATATACACAATGTATTCAACAAAGCAACAGATATGTACAAGTGGTTGAATATGGGTTATCACTTCTTTTTCTATTGACAAGATGTGCCTTCAAAAGCATACAAAATATGAATGTTCTATTCTATCAACTTGATTTTTTTCAAAAGATGAAATATGTACACATTGCTGAATTAAATTCAAGTCTTAACTGTTAATTTAACACTAGATACATTTTGTTAAAGCCAATTTATTACTGTACACAATATAAAATGCTTCCAAATTCTCAATTATCTACACATTGTAAATATTTATTTCAGTTTCCCTCTTTAATATTACGCACAATATACATTTTTCAAATCTTCAATTATAGACATATTGTAACTATGTCAAATTCTCTCTTTTTTTCTTTACGTAATATACAATATTTGCAAACCTGAAATGTAAACAAATTTTGCAATGTTTACTTAAAATCCTTAAATTGGTTAATACATCTGATCAAAATTTAATGAAGCAAGAAATATTTGCATTTGGTGTATCATTTTATGTTTCTATTGACAAAATTTGTTTTTCAGAACATGTTCATTTTGATCCAACTCTTACCTAAATCTTCAAATCCAAACACATTGTAAATGTCTGACTCTACTCTGATCCACTAAAATATGTACACATTGTTGCATGTAATTCAAGAGTTGTTTTCTTGTGAAGAAACAGTTTGTCAAATGTCAAAGTCAATTCCTTACTATACACAATATGTAATGTTTCCAAATTCTTTATTATCTACACATTGTAAACATTTCATTAAATTTCTGTACATATATTTACACACTTGATACATTTTTCAAAACTTCAATTACATACACATTGAAAATATGTTTCTGAACATAAAATACAATATTTGCAAACCTGAAATATGGACACATTTTGCAATGTTTACTCAAGTTTACTAAATTTATCAATACAGTTGATCAATTTAATGAAGCAAGAAATATTCCACACTACTTCTAAAAACAAAATACAATATTTGCAGATCCTGAAATATTCAAACATATTATTAAAAAAGCAAAATGTATTAACTTTATCAAATCAAGAAATATGTACAAAGGGTTAATCTGACCCAAGAACTCTCTCACCACATCAAGAATACTTTCTGCAACTTTGAATTCTCTCTGTGTATATTTTGACAGGAATTGTTGGGCAACTCAGTTTATCCAGACATTTTGCCGAAGTTACCACCTCAGAGAAAAGGAATTGATCAGATCTACCTCTGTGCTAAATAGGTTCTGTACATGATAACTTCTCTTCCTTGCCATCATATCTGTAGTACGAGACTGACATCACAGTTTTCTCTGCAGTCTGGAACATAATACTGCCGTGTAGAGAACATGCAACATGTAAATTTAAACTGTATGCTACAGAACTTTGAAATTTGTCTTGATACAGCAACGGTGGTAAGTGTGCATACTTTCTTCTACTGGTGGAACACATTTGACTGAGATGTGAATCCAAATTACCAATGTCCATCTGCAATGATAATATGGTATATTAATATAAGGGGTTATATTTGTGCATCAATATAGAATCTCACCTTACATATCTTCTGCGAGATTGAGAACTCGTTCTGCAAGTTCACATGCTTGTCTCGCTGTATTCTCAGTGTAAACATCAGCTGGTATATTTGGACAGGCAAGTCTATCTGGAAATAGCATTCTGTCATCGTCACCTACGACATTTTGAAGCTGAGTCACAAGCTCAGATAAATGGACATTTTCCAGCCTGCTAGCTGCTTTTATGATGCCCTTTTTCCGTTGACTCTGTGCCTTGCGGGCATCCCTGTTGTACCAAGCTGATGTGACAGCCTTCTCTGCTGCCTGGAACATACAGATTGAACCTCTGACCACCAAGTGGAGACAAGGGTCAAGTGAACACAAATACCTAGATTCATTTTCAACACTAACAGGTCACCTTTTGAAAGTGCCTAAAACTTAAAATCTGATATGCAGAATCACAAAGTAACGTAAGCGATACACATAACATTTGCATGGCAACCATTACAAATATAACTTATTGCAGCAACAGTATCAAAGTTTGTTTGTGACCACTGACTTTACCGTGTTTCTTCAAGGTACTAGTTAAAAATTAGCATTAAACTTCATTGAAACAGATTTGACATGATTCATACAGAACTGACATGCTGTAGTTATTGCCCCCAAAATTCAACTTTTCTGCTACCTTGAATGACATCATTGATCAAATCCAGCATGTCATTACAGATTCTATGAAAACATCCATATTAGTTTATGAATACATGTGAAGATCTGGGTTAAAATTGATCTTCAGTAATCCATGATTGTTGTTAGAGGCAATGAACAGAATTGCTGACCTAGCTGACACATGTCATTGTATCCCAGTTATGTTGATCGATGCTCATGATGTTGATCACTGGATTGTATGGTCCTGAGTTATTTACAGACTGCCACCATGTAGCTGGAGTATTGTTTAGTGCGGCGTTAAGCAAGAAATAAACATATTATAAATAAGTCAATTAAATCAGCTTACCTTGAGAGCTTTGAAGCACACCCAGTTATAGTCTCTATCAAGTTGGAGAGTGTCCCTGGCTGACCTCAAGTCATATTTTGCCTGTCTGAGCCACCGTCTTGCTTCTTCTGGTTGAGGATGAGCAGAGTGGTGACGATTGTAGGATGTGTCCCTTTGGTCTTGGTGTTGTTGGTACTGAGACCTTTGATGTGAACTTCTCCTCCCCATATGTTCAAAGAAACTTGAGTCTGTGTCATCTGCAGGGACGTCACCACCTTTAGTTATGCTCTGCCCATTTTCAAGTTTCGTCACGTATGACTGAATATAGTGACATACTTTTATACAGAAATCTTCATTTCCAATGTTCTTGTCTGGATGCCAAGCCAAGTACAATCTTTTCTTTACCCGTCTTCTTTCCTCCATACTAGTACTTGTTTTCCATGTTTCTGTCAGAATATTTCTGATTTCCTTCAATACTGTGTTCAGGTCTCTAGGTTTCACCTCTGGTAGTTCATGTTGAGATAATTCTACTATTGCAGTGTTTTCACTCTTAATTTTGTACAGCCTTGAACCACATATAGTCTCAAGATGTCCATTCTCAAGAGCAACCACATATTGCCCTCTGACCAATAAAGTTTCCTTTGACAGGATTCTCTTTACAAGTGCATAAACATACTCAGGTTTGCCCTCTTCATCAGGAGCATCGGTGTCAACGACAGGGTCATAAACCTCCAGTCCTACATACTCCCATTCATCAAAGTCATGAAAGCTGTTGTCCAGACGCCAGTGCATATCTTCTGGGATTGATCTCCCAGGAATAGGAAAAGAATAGTCTTCTCTCAGCTGGCATTCATAATTATATGTCCTTACCCTCTGTTCATCCAAATACTCCTTGTAGGTTTCTGGGTCAGATTTTAACAAATGATTTATGTGACATCTTGAAATCTCTCCCTCTGAAGTCAAAGAACAAATTGTTGATGTCAAGGCAGCACATAACCCGTCTGTGTCAATGTCATTGTCAATGAAAAGGTATACTTTTGCATTAAAGTGTTCTTCCATGCAGCTCTTTTTCCTTTCGCTATGAGGTACTTGACTACCATCATTCTGTCTTAGTACTGTTTGTAGGTTCTCAACTTCATGAATTTCCAGCTTCCTTAACTCTTCTTCCATTGTCCTTGCTTCAGTTTGGTCCAGACTTTGATTGTGATTTGAAAACTGCGTATGAATGACCAGCCTCACAATGGCACTAACAAAATCTGGATCATGTATAATGTCAAGATATCCCTGAGATAACTCACGAGGACATGCTTTCAATTTGCTTTCATCAGTGACAAATTCTTGGGCTAAAAATGACAGCATCTTCAGCTGATAACGCTCCGGTAGCATGCTGATGTGAGTTTGTGGATCCCTGTTCAAGTATGGAAATTGCTCAAATCCCAGAAAATACTGCAAACCAAGAGACTGAACTCTGTCTGAGAAAGAATCATTATCAATGAAGACCAGCTCGCAGGAGTCTCTTAGTCTCCAGTTTGCATCTGGTAGATACAATGTTGGTACATCTAATGTGGCTGAATTGTCCTTGTTTTGCGTTTCGATAAATTGAAACAGTAGGCAAAAGGCCTTCTCTGCTGTACACAGATCTTTTTCTTTCACTGATTGTGTCTTTTTGTACAGTTTCTCCAGCACACATGCATACAGGTTAGCATGTGCCTTCTCTGAAGCACCAAGACCCAGGAGAACTTGACCAAATCCTGTTAATGTGTGTGGCATTGCATACACATATCCTTTTACAATCTCATTAGGCCAGATGGTTGTGACAACTTCTGAAGCTGGCACCATACATTCCTCTTCTGGAATATAGACTGTGCAAACATCTTGAAGCTCATGCTTCATCCAGTCTCTGACTCCTGTCTCTTTCAAGTGTTTGTAAACAGATTCCATGACACGTTCCATTGTAGGGCATAACTTGGAAAAACTATCAACAGAATTTTGGTCCTGAAGTTCTTTAAAAGATCTGCATATGTTTTTCAAATGTCTCGTTACATCTGAATGATCTGGTTTTGCTCTGATGCCAAGTTCAGAGAAGTGATTTGTGCATAGTATCCATCCCCGCAAGGATGGGCTTGCATTCTCGTGGAATATTGAACAGCTTGTCCAAACACAGTGGCAGTTGTCAGGATGGAGTGACTTGCAGTAGGCAACTAGACGTTTGCCCTCATGCAGCTGAGGGTGTATATCTGTTAAATCTTTTCCAACAGTATGAGGTAACACAAATTGTATCTTTCCAATTTGTGACAGATGTCCTTTAAATCTCCCATGATTCTTAGCTAAGTATGATGACAACACTTTAGACTTGTTGCTAACGTCTTCAGTAATACCTGTGCTACCAAGGGCTTCAACGTCTTCAGCAAAGGTTAAATAGAGTCCAATACTAACATCTGTTGTCAAACCAGCAGTTTCCAAAAAGGGTTTCCATTTCTCTTCATCATATGGTGGTGGTGGGAATGCAGATGTGCTACACATCTGTTTGAAGACCTCTTCGGAAGGACTATAAAAATCACTTGCACACTGACGTAAGCCCTCCCCTGCTTCAATGAATCTCAATTTTTTCAACTCATCTTTTAGTGGCTGTACATCGCCTAGGTCTTCCATACAAGGCAATATGACATCACGTATGAATTCCAAATGTAAAAGTTGGGCTGAACTTGGCATACATTCAAAGTTTGGAAGGATGATTTGAACATACAGTTCCTCTCGTGTCAGTGTCTTTATGCACAGTTTCTCAAAAACGCCTCTGCATCGAACAATCTTCTTGATTAAAACTTTACAAGAGGCCCTAATCAATTCACCGAAACCATCAGATGGTACATCATAATAGTGTTCTACTGCTGACACCTCATTGTCATCTTGTAAAGCAACTTGCTGTCCACACATAGACTGATAGAATGGAAGTTTCCGAAGTAACTGCTGTGCAGGCTGTTCACAAATTAGGTCACTGAGTTTTTTAATATTTACACTGAAGTATTCCAAAACAGCCAAGCTGTCTTCTGCTGTAATATGAAGAGAATCACTGAAATCAATGTCTGATAACAATTTCAGTATTTCATCATGATTCTCCATTTTGGCAGCTAGAGATGAAGTTACTTTGATGATATTTTTACAATACTGAAAAGAATGATGTAACAAGTCCACATCAAGTATTGGAACTTTCATTTTTTTCAAAGCAGTTGCACATTTATCATGTGAATCAGGATCAACAATCACACATTTGCCTTTCCTTATTGGATATAGAAAAGGAATGCTCTTCCCTTGCTTTTCAATGCTAGCAGGTAACAGTGACCAGCCTTCAAGTTCAGCCAAAAACGTATGTGTGTCAAATGTCTTTCCATCCTTAATACTGCACATTTGATGAGACAAATAATCCCAAAACTGAAAGATCCATTTCTTAGTTGGCAGATCTTCTGAGTTGTCCCATTGGACTGGTTTGCCGGTGTGCAAAACGTCTCTAGAAAATGTCTTTTCAGTCAAACATACCAATGATGTGACATCAAGATCTTTTATACAATCTGATTCTTCGAGGTATTTTGTATACATCAAACTGATTCCTCTATCCAACACCTCATCAGGTGTTCTAACAAATAGATCAGTGTATATTGTCACAAACAATGATATTTCAGCATCAAAACAATGCAGTCGCTGTGATTCAGTCAATGCAAGTGGCAAAGATTGCAATTCAGAACCAAATGTTGCATGCATTTCACAGAATTCTGTCAATAATTTTAGTGATTTGATGCTCTTTAGGGATGTGGCTTCTAGGTCCTGTGGTAGAGATTCAAGATTACAGCTATCTTTTGTGTCAGCTGGGTGGGATTTCAGGAACTGCATAACACTTTCTGGTGTGACGAGGCTCAACTCACTTTCCGTGCGAACGGCTTTGATATTTTCATAAATCCTGCATGGAACATCAATGATATTCATGTTCAAGTCCTTAAGAATCTCAGTAAGCTGCCATGCTCTCTCGTTTTTCTGCTTGTGTTCATGCATCTGTGGACATAACTCAGTCAAATCTTTTCCTCTGTCAGTGTCTGGTTGTGAGACTTGATCAGTATGAGTGAAAAAGCTTCCCAATTCATTAAAATAGCCTTTACCACTTGCAGCTGGAACCCACAAAACCTTACAGGTCATGTCTTCCTTTTTAAGATTCCTTTCCTTTTTCTGCTTGTGTTCATGCATCTGTGGAAATAACACAGTCAAATCTTTTCCTCTGTCAGTGTCTGGCTGTGTGACTTGATCAGTTTGAGTGAAAAAGCTTCCCAATACATTAAAATAGCCTTTACCACTTGCAGCTGGAACCCACAAAACCTTACAGGTCATGTCTTCCTTTTTAAGATTCTTCTTGTTGCTTTCATTTTTGTTCTTGCTGAAATCTGAAAACATTCCATTTGCAGGTTTCACAATTCCAAAGAGTTTACTTTTGTTAAGAAAAACATCATTGTAGAAAGAAGTAACAACATCATTCCAAAATCCAGAGGTTTTTAAAGTCTTATTTGGAAAGAAACTATAATAATGATCAAGACTTTGATATTGACATGTTAGTGACTTTTCCTCGGACACTCCAGTTTTCTCCTTCAGTGACTGCATAGCCGTAATATAGGCTGGAATTATGATTGCATCAACAATATGGCGATTCCAGATTGACCGGTAGTCTTCATCACCATGCCAAAGGTTTCTTCTTGCTTCGTGATCCAAGGCAAAGTGACCATTGACATGTACAGGCAGGCCTGTAGTGATAGGCAGGGGCAGGGTACAAAACGCTTTTCCCTTGATAGGTTCCACACCCTTCCCTCCAGTAGCTATTTGTACTGCAACACCACCTTGTGGTAAGAGACAAATGTTCCCTTTCTCCCAGGCTTCATTTACAGGTTCTGGAATAGGTTTTTCTTTAGAAAATCCAGAAAGGTGAAACACAACCCAATCTTGATGTCTCCTTTTTGAATCCTCAAGGCTGAGAGACAATTCAGCTTCCAAAGAAGAAACAGCATCGAGGCCAATTCCAGCAGAAGGGTTTCTTATCTTTGCTGTCTGCTTCCTCAAGTGAGAAAGGAATCCCTTATGTGTAGACATATCTTCTTCACTCATTCTTGCTGTAACACTGTATTCTTTTTGGAGAGTACCATTTGTGTTGACACTGGCAATAGATATTTTCTTAACACTATGAAGGAATAGGAGAGAGTCAAACATGTCATTCTTGAATTTTTGCAAAAGCTTGTTGACATCATTTGTAGTGACTTTTTTTTTGACGATCTCTGACGTTTTTGCCATTTCACATGTCCTCAAAGGGAATCTGAACAGCGTTCCTTTTGGGTCAGTTTTGACTATATCTTCCAGATATCCAGAGAAGCTATCAGCATATGTGTCTCTTAACCTGTCCAGCTTTGATATTTTCACTCCAGTTTCCCCGGCTTCTACATACTGCATATGAGGGTCGAGGGCACATATGGATTTTTCCATCCCAGGTCCAACAGTGATGAAAGACGGAACATCAGTCAGATGATAAACAGCATTGAACCCAACACCATACTGCCCAGTCTTTACAGGATCTTCACTCTTACTCCCAACACCTAGGTTCTGAATACCTTCAAGGTCATCTTCTGTAAAATAACTATCATTGTACACACAGAGTGCTGGACCTTGCAGTGAAGCCCATTCTTCAGAGAAGATTTTTTCTTTTGGCAATGGTCTGTAATCCTTTATAAACATCAGTTCTGTTGCTCCTGCGTCATCAGCATTTTGCAGCAGCTCTTTCATGATTGAAGAGTCACGTGGGTATACACTCAGAATTCGTTTCAGTCGAGTTGTTAGTTTTTCGCTTTGACCAAATGGGGATGAAAAGTGAGAGATGTGTCCTTTCAGATGAACAGCACGCTTTCCCTTCACACCTAACAGCTTGGCTGCCTCATGGTGTACACATGCATGAACAAACTTCATGGATTCGTTTTTATCAACAAATTCATAATCATCAAAGCAAAGTGAGGTTGCTTTCGATAGAATTCTGTCACAATTTGGAAGTGAAACATCCAACCTTTCTTGATCAAAGCATGATTTGTCATTCTCTGAAAGATACAGAGTAGCCCTTCCGAACCATGTTAACTGATCTTCTGAAAGTTCTTTTGAACCTGTAACTCTGGAAATTGCCTGCATAACATGTAGCAGGTCAGACACTTCAAATTTGTCTTTAACCCCAATGCTCTGCAAAAGCATCTTATTGTCAACTATTGTTACATCAACTTGATACAGATAAGGCGATAAATCAGTTGGCAGATGAAAAGCAGCATGCTTTGGTTCAACCATTTGTTTTCCTACCAGCACGGTTTCTTCATCTTGTAAAAATTGCTGTATCATCCCGATCTGGGCATCCTCTTGTCCACACTTACAGTTCAGAAATGTATATATGTGTTTGCACAATTTCTTAAGCTCATAGGAAGAAGAATTTTCAGTCAGTGCGTTTATAGATTTGGAAACAAGGAGCAATTGTTCTGAGGCTACAGCCAGGTGAACATCTTCCTTTCCTTTCACACCAAGCCAAGACAAAACATCCATGTCCACTCTGACATAAGGGTCAAAATAGTCATCCAAAATTAACTGTGACGAAGCCACTAAGCTTGAAACACTCTTCAAATAAAGTTCACTTGGACATGCAAATGCTTTTCCTTCTGTGTCATCTGCTTTCCACTTTAAAGGCCAGTTTGAGGGACGTTTTTGAACAGGTAAAAAGGATATGTCTTGTAATTCAGACTGTATTGCTTCAGAACAAGAGACATAACGTTTCTTCCCATGATGGATCCCACTGCCAAGATACTTTAAGATCTGTCCACTTCTCTCATGAGCTGTTTTAGCATCCTGTTTATCTAGATTCTCCACTGACAAGGCTCGCTCAACAAGGAGTTCCCATGGGAGTTCATCTTGAATCATTCCATGCTCACATAGAATGCCTACCACCTGCTGGTGACAAAAGTTGATTCCCCAAGACCTAAATCCTCTTGGGAAGCATTCATCTTCTTCAGAAAACATCCTTGCACATGGCTTATGTGGATGAATTAGTTCACATGGCATTTTCAGAGTACCTGAAGGCTCTGTTGGAATACATCTGGATGTTCTTATGAGGTCTTCAACACTTTCATTCTGATATTTCAGAGCAAACAATACCAAACTATCTCTCTCTGTTGGTGACCAGTAACTGTCATTTATGTTTGGGAAGAAGATTGTCTTGAAAAACTCTGATGTTGTGAGAAGCCTGGAAGTAACACACGACCTCAGTCCAGACAGACAAAACTGTTTGAAGAGTAGTTGTGGAAGGTCTACGATTTTTCTATTTGTGGACTTTAGAAAGTGAGATGTTGCTTTGAAGGCCATCATTCCAATATCATCATTCCAACGAAGTTTTGGTTCAAGAATATACATTCCTTGAAATGACAGCCATTCGAGTGCACCATTGTCATCATGGGGAAACACGCAATGTGTCTCATCTGTTATAAGCTCATAGAAACTTTGTACCATACAGTCAGGTTTATCATGTGGTGTTGTAGGCCATAAGCCATAATACTGACCAACGCTTGAAGGATCTGTGATCTCCAGTTGTTCAAGCCCAGCTATGTAGGCTCTACATGTGGCATCTTTATACAGAGCTGTATTCCACTCAGCCTCATAGTTCATCTTGTCATCTTCAGTTTGTGTACACAATTGTTTTCTGTCTGTTGTCAAAGCAAATGGTGCATTGATATGTACTGGAAACGGAATGTGCACTGGCAGAGGTAAAAAGCAAAAGAAATGTCCTTCTCTATAGAATCCTGCTGGACATTTGGCCATTTCACAGATGCCTTGTCTTCCATCTTCCATAGTCAGTGGAATTGCAACAGCTGCTAATGGAAGCAGTCCTTTGAGCTTTCCAGACTGTGCAAACTGCTCCGATTCTTTTTGACCAGTTACCCAGGTAATGACCCACGATTGGGTGGTCACACTAGGATTTAACTTTTGTGTTCTTGTCATGTCTGTGTCACAAATTTCAAGCTGGACATCACTTTTTTCAGTTATTTTGAGGCACTCTCCTGAGTGGGTGTTCCACTCCTGAGCTGCATATGATAACACAGTAAGTTCATTAAGAAGAGAATTTGGAGGTGACAGGATTCGTTGGTCTGTTATTGCTTTTGTCACATGAATGAGAAGTTCTGGCGTATTTGGGTCTCCATTGCGTGGTAAATAGAAGAACTTTACTGATGAAACATACTGCGTGAAAAGGGTAAGATTTCCACATCCTTCTGCAAATTTTCTGAAAAATATCTCCATCTCATGCCTTGAGTAGGACAAATCTTTAATTTCACTTGTAGCAGCCTGTTCTGGTGTCCTCAAAGGGAATCTGAAAAGTGTTCCATGACATATAGTGTCACGTTTTCCATCCTTGATGACTTGACAACTAAATATTCCCTCGAACGGCTTTAATTGTCCATTCATATTTCTCATCATCCTCTGATTTTTCACACTTTTGAGGTTTGCTTTCAGCCCAGATTTCCCTAAGTATGATTTGTGAGGGTCAAACATCACCAAAGTATTTTCACTGATGAAGCTTGGAACATCAGTTAGGTTGTAAACAGAATTGAATCCCAAACCAAACTTTCCCACTTTTGTTGTGTCTTCTTCTTTAGTGGCTCCGCTCAGTTTCTTTAAATTGTTAAAGTCACTCTGTGTAAAACTTGCATTATTGTAGGCCCAGAGGGCTGGACCTTGCAAACCAGCCATGTTCTCATTCATGAGGAATGTTCTTGCATTCAGATTCTGTCTCTCATCATACATGAAACAAACTTCTGTAGCGCGGGCATCATCTGCATTTTGTATCAGCTCTTTCGGGACAGAAAAACCGTCTGTGTACTCATGGAGAATGTTTTTCAGTCGTCTTGTTAATGGCTCTGACTGATGATACTCCAAATCAAAGTCTTCAGTGTCATCCATTACACGTTCAGTCAGGGAATAGACTCCCATCAATTGTGCAGTCCACTCTGATATGTTAGAATGAACATAAAATATTTCCTCTTCTTCATCTACCTCAGAACCATCAGACATCTGATCCTGCAGCCAATCGGCATTGCAGTAGGTGCACTGGTCTGCTGGCAACAAGAGAAGGTAATCCTCAGAAGCCTGGTGCA